ACAAGTCTGACCATCATTTACAGTAGGACCGTTCCAGTTTTGCGACTCAAGATGATCAAATTATCAAATGAAGATTCTATAATTAAAATTAATTTAAAAAGTCAATTCATAAACTTGTAAACATTAAAAAAAAAGAAAATTGAACAAAAAAATTATAGTGTAAGTTTAGGAATATTCACTTCGTCAACTCATCTGGAATGATGTCCCTGGTCTTATCACTCCCATAAATTACATAATGAATGGCTAGCATGACACACCAGTCAGACACAGTGAAATGAATCAAACACCTTGTAGTTTTTAGATGCCTGGAGCTATGACAACCTTCAGTATTATAATCTGGAGGATTAATGTTTATTCCTGTTCTTGTGAAACTTCCCTTTGTCTCTTTGTTGCATATTGTACACAGTATGATGGTATCAGGCTGACTGATGGACTATAAAACACCAACTTCCATTTGCTCAGCAGCAGTATCATAGCCACAAGTCATTTACACTACAGAGCAAAATGAAACTCCAGGAGAAAACTTTATTGAAGTTTTGTTTTGATATCAAGCTAGAACATAAGATACGTGTTTATTAAAGGAGAGAAAGTTATTTGAACTCACCTAGATCTTTTTATGCCTTTGTTTGTTAGAAAATGGAAAGGCTGATCAATCAGAACTTTTTTGGGTGCAATAGTTTCCCAGCCAGCAAAAGAAAACCCAATAAAAACTGCTTCTACTTTTAATAGAAACAGAGGTCTCAAATGATACATTTGTAAATATGCATGCAAGTTATGAGGAAGCCACCCATCATCACCCAAATGTGGAAGTGTCTCAGTAGCACCGAGTAATATATAACAATGACTAGATTGTAACAAAGTGGTAGTAAAAATGTCGAAAAGGAATCTGTTTTTCTGTTAATGTGCACATTGAGCCAAATATTTTTTGTTGTTCAGTATTAGAGAACCTTGTATTTTTATATTGCTCTTTGTATCTGTGCTGTGGATATTTGTCACTGTATTTGTCACTGAACGTGAGAGACAATTCAAAATTTGGAGTTATTATCTGAAAAGAGAAAAACATGATGATTGCAAACAGATTTTCCCGATGATTGGTATTGTTTCCCCAAGATAATACGACAGGCATGCCTGCTCAGTGTTGAAACATGCCTGCTTAACCAGAAAGATTGGGTACATGTTTATCATGTTCGTTCTACACATTTTTGCGATGGTCAGATAGCCTGAATGCAATCTTATGGCCATGGCTAGCCTTGAGATAAATGCATTGCCCAACAAATAAAATTGAAAACATTAACAATAACATATAAAGCCATTTATAACTCTGCCCCAAATTACATCACCAATCTTGTCTCCAAATATCACCCAAACCATACTCTCCGCTCCTCGTACAACCTCCTGCTATCTAGCTCCCTTGTCTCCTCCTCCCATGCTCATCTCCAGGACTTCTCCAGAGCCTCCCCCAACCTCTGGAACTCTCTACCCCAATTTATCAGACTATCGCCTACTCTGCTCACTTTTAGGTGATTTATGAAAACCTCCCTCTTCAGCAAAGCCTATCCTGCCCTCAGCTAATAATGGAATCTTCTCTTCTTCCTACCAGTCCATCCCCCACAGTTATTACCTTTTGTACCACTAGCCCCAGGGCCCTCCCCCTCTTGTATTGAACTGTATTGTTGCTGTATTGTCTCCCTCTTGTAAGCTCCAAGGAGCAGGGCCCTCCTAACCCTCTTGTATTGAACTGTATTGTTGCTGTATTGTCTCCCGTTATATTCTAAAGTGCTCAGCAAACTGATGGTGCTATATAAATGCTGTATAATAATAATAATAGCATTTATATGTATGTATCCCAGTGGTGTATTTAGGTTTTGTGCTGCTTTATGCAACACAAAAATTGTCTTCCCCTACGGACATGACCAACCCCCCCCCCCCCTCCCCCTCCCACGAAGAGAGCCTACATTAATCAACAACACTCCTGCCCCCCACCTGGGAGAACCTTCCACTATCCCCCTTCCGCGGTTATAGAGAGAAAGACAATCATCTTCACAGCTCTGTGCATCCGCAGGCTCTACATACACCATCAAGCAGCCTCTCTCGGAACTCACCTGGTTCCCATGTGCACGTGTCTCTTCTTCCATCCCTTCTTCTGGGGGGAGGTGCCGCCCCCCTGAAAAATGCCGCCCTAGGCAAGTGCCTTGTTTGCCTTGTGGTAGCTATGCCCCTGATGTATCCATACAGTTGTATCTGACTCTCTGCATGTCACGTACTTGGTTGGGGAGCCTGACGTGGAGAGAGGGCGTCCTCTTACAACTCGGAGCCCCTCATAGTGGGAACAGAGGGCGCAGAGCCAGGAGTGGCACAAGTGCCGGGTGGATCTGGAGCTGGCGGCAGGTAGCTGAGGACCCAGGAGATCCGGATGCAGGCCAGGTGCAGGTGCAGGAACGTAGGTGCAGCAGCGGGCAGGTATGGCGGAAATCAGGATGCAGACTGGGACCGGACACTGGAGCGTGGATGCAGTAGCAGACAGGTATGGCAGTGACCAGGATGCAGGCCAGGTGCAGGACCGTGGGTGCAAGCGGCAGGTAAGTATGGCGGTGACCAGGATGCAGGCCAGGTGTAGGATCGTGGGTGCAGTGGCAGGTAAGTATGGCAGCCGACAGGATGCAAGCCAGGTGCAGGTAAGTAAATGTAGCAAAGTCAGACAAGCCGGGTCAGTATCAAGTGGGCAGATTAAGTACAAGGGAGCAGGCAAGCAGATGGTCAGGGATAGCCGAGGTCAGTGCAGGCAGAGTTCTTTCTTAGTCAGGCAAATCAGAATACAGGTAACAGGATCAGGAATATGTGCAGGAACGTTGTAGACCAGAAGGCATTGATTTTACTGTTCTGCTGGTTTAAATAGCCCACCTGGCGTGACGTGTATGCTTACTGCGCATGCGCAAGTTTTCCGTGCTACTGTGCATGCGCGCCTGCACGCTCCTGCGCACTCGCACCGCCACAGCCCCGAGGGGATCGGTCGCCGTTGCACGGCTGCACTGCAGCGGAATCCCTGACACTGCAGTTCTATGAGCCAACTCTTTGGGCACCATTTCTTGTACACTTGGAAGCCTTTTGCCAATTTTTCATGAGGTTGGTTGAAACATCTTTCCTCAACCCTCCCCTGTTGCCTGGCTTGAGATTGGCATGCAGAATGTGATAACATGTGCATAGCCACTTTGTACACATATACTAGGGTCAATTTAGACAGGAGCCACTAAACCCACCAGCCTGTCTTTGCAGTGTGGGGAAAAACTGGAGTACTTTGTGGAAACCCACATGAACAAAGGGAGAACATGCAGATAATGGCCTGGAAGAAGATGTCTACATTTTGAGTAGTGAAATCAAATAGGTTCCTGCAACTAAGCTAAACAGCGTGAATGGAGGAATCTCCCCTGCTGGTTATAATATTCTGACAGCCAGCTCATACAACTATCAGCATACCTAAAGGTATATATGTCGTATATTGCAGATTACCAATCATTAGATGTGATGGCTGCATTAGTTTTCTTGTGCCTACACTGTGGATGAAGGAGCAAAAGAGACACCTCTGGACAGCAGCATTGCCAGTCTGGTGGGAGGCAAGTGTTAGATGTACTAGCATTTAAGCCAGCTATAGATGTTTCGAATCTTGGCAGATTCAGCAGGGACCAGCCGAGATTTGCTCCGTGTATGGGCTGGTTGATTGTACCCAAGTTTATCCATTGATTGACTTGGGTACAACCAGCATGTCAGATTTCTAGCATGCAAATATTCCTAGCGGTTATAGCTTCTAGCAATAATCACTCTACCGTTGCCCCCCTTCGCAGTTGGGTTTCCCATAGTTGCAGGATAGAAAATCGCATCATCTATGGCCTGCCTAAAATACACTAAGAACATTGAAACCAAAATCCATCTAACACTTTGTAATCAGTTACAGTAAACAGTCTCACAGTAAACAGTTGTGTTCCTTTTGGGATAAAGATTTTACACACATAAATAAAAGCTAATCATTATAATTAACTCTATATGTGGTGAATGGTTTGTCTCAACTCCCTAACTGCTACATACGCAGGACAGCTTGTTCTGTTGAAAAACAACATGCTTGCTAGCCGGATCACCAGCTGAAAATAAAAGAAAGCCTAAAAAGAAAACGAATGCAGCCATCGTATCTGATAATTGTCAAACTTCAATATAATACGTTTGCTTTTGGGTTTAATACTGCTTTAAGCCTGCCAAACACAGCTTGAAATTTGCCTGATTCCTACTTAAACTGCCAAATTTCAACCTGAGTTTGGCAGTCTTAGGGCTCATGTACACTGCAGCTGATAAACTCACATTTAGGAGCTGTTCAGCATTTTTTTTCAGCAGTCCCTGAAGTCACCCTAATGTTTTCCAATGTACATATCTTCGATTACAGGCAGTTGAGTTTACAGTCATTTTTGTTACCAAACTTGCATTTAGGAGTAGATTTTATCAGCGTTTGAAACGCCAAACGATTGGAATTTTTTTTTAACTGTTCCATTTCCAGATGCTGTCCAGAGCCTTTTTTCATCATGAAAAATGCATGCAAAGCCTTTTCCCGATACTCAAATGGACCCATACTATGGTACACCATACTTTGAGGTTTCACATGAAAGAAAATGTTAGACACTGCTGCAATACTTTCTGCACAGAAATGAGCTGGAACACATCCAAACACCACAAAACAAAAGACAGCTAATCTCAACAAATACTGCTGTCTCTGCTTCTGCTCTCTCTCTATTTCTCTCAGCATGTCTGAAATAGTTAATTTTTTTACTGTTTTTCAGTGCATTCTGGGCATTTTGGAAGGTATCCTGAGGTTATCGTAGCCTCCCTGGTGGTATTCCTGAGTGTAGCTCGGGGTAAAGTTTCATTACCACAAGTGGTAACCCCGAGCTACACTCTGGAATACCGTGCAGCGCTGCTCCGTGATCCCTCGGTCACTTACCTTGTCCTGCGCTTCCGCTATGTCCCTCCTGCAGTGTCCCCGGCAATGTAATCCGGCAGATGCCGGCATCTGTCATCTGGGTTCCGTCCCCTACGAGTGTCGGGACGTACGGGGACGGAACGGCGGGAAATTTGAAAATGACAAAAAGTGACATTTACTAAAATCACATAGTATAACATTACTGTATCAACCCATTTCACATACATTTTGTCCCGAGTGCTTTGTCCTGTGCCCTGCCTGCATTTTTACTGTTCTTTCTGCCTGGAAACTGAGAAATGTCCATGGCGTCCAAAAAGCGTCCCTTTAGGTCAAAAGCGGTTTTAGATCAGCTAGAGAACACCGATAGTAAATTAGAACCACTTGCAGAATTGAGTGATAATGATTCATGGGGAAATTCGTCATCAGGCACTGAAAAGATTTTGCGACTTTGGCGCTTTATTTCAAATTTCAGTGTTTTTGGTTTGATTATATTATTGAATTAAATTTATTATTATATTATTATTATTTTTTTTTATGATTATTTATTAATTTATTATTTATGATTTCGTGTTTCAAGTTTTATCATACCCGGGATGTTTACTAGACTCTTGTTCGGACAGATTTCAGTGAGTTATTCCTAAAAATTATAGGCCTACAATAAAAAAAATACATATTTCTATGCAAAAAAATGTACCACTTTGAGCACAGAAATATGGACATAATCAGACCGCTAGGGAGGTTAAAAAAACGCTTCTAAACCCAAACGCTCATAAACGTACATAAAAGCGGTATGCAAACGCGACTAAAAAGACTTTTTTTAACCTACGTTTTCCAGCAGTCAGTTTCCATCGTTCAGAAGTGTTTTCCAAATGTCCCGTGTACATGGAGCCTGAAGCCAATGTACCACCTTGTGTTTGTATAAATTTATTAAAACGGATCTTTCTTTGGTCAAGTTGTGTCTTCATGTCCAACTGCCCTGTGATGTCTATAACCAGTTAATGAGATCCCAGGGCTGAGATAAACTTGTGTGGAGTGTGCAAGGCTTTTGTTTGCTTTTTGTCTTGCTCTTACTTGGAATTGTTTATTTTACCCCAGCTCTCATGCCTCTGCCAAGAACCTCATTCACTGCAACCTGACCCTTCTTTTCTGCAGCCAGTGATCACAGGAGGCTGAAGTCCGTAGACATAACCATTACTGCTTCATTTGCTTCCTTTAGTTCATCTCCTGTTCCCATTATTGTAATTCCCATTTACATTTTAATTAAGCAAGATTCACACTGTTTGCCCTACCTTTTTATACAGATTTCACAATTAAGGCTGCAGATTCTTCTTTGAAGTCAATCTTCCTGAAGTTTTTTTGTATATAAATGTGAATGTAACCTGCTTTAGGATATTAATCTTAACAATAGGTGTTAATATTCTAAAACGTCTTTATAATCGGTTGTAAATACTTAGGTATGGTGTGCAGTCTTATATTCAAATTTCATATTATAGTGTATGCAGGGGCGGACTGACAACTCATGGGACCACCGGGCAATATGGGATTATGGGGCCCCCGTGTCCTCGCCCACACCAAATAAAGCCTATGAAAAAGCCAATGAAAGGTACCAGGGGCATCTCATGGGGCCCTCTACTGACCCTGGGCCCTTGGGCTAAATGGTCAGTCCGCCCCTGAGTGTATGTGTAACTGAACCCTGCTGAGATTTTCCTGCACTTCCTTTCTTGGAGATGAATTAGGACATTTAAGGAAATCTCACCATCTTCACGTCTTACCCCCAGTTCATATGTATGCGGCCGTGTGGGACGTGTTTTGCACAGGCACGAGAGCCCATTCATTTGAATGGACTCCTATGTCCGTGACATGCAGAAAAGAAGTCCCTGCACTTCTTCTGAAAACACAGCCCGCACAGCAACCTCGGTTCCCAGTACGGTTGCATTTTCCAGTGCGGACGGCATGCCATTAGAATTAATGGCACCCGCACACGGGTCCGCATTTCTCTGTGCTGGTGGTGCGGCTGCACAGATTTTCGTGCTGATCTGCAGCGGCACCACCTGCACAGATGTGAACCTAGCCTTAGGCTCCATGTACACTGCAACTGATAAACTCACGTTTAGGAGCTTTTCTGCATTTTTTTCAGCAGCCCCTCAACTCTCCCTAATGTTTTCCTATGTGTCCATATACACTATGTCGTTTACAGTCATTTACAAGCAGTTGAGTTTATAGTCGTTTTTTTGAACACATCAAAATTGCATTCAGGGGTAGATTTTATCAGCGTTTCAAACGCTTGTAAACGCGACTAACCGCGTTTATAAGCGTTTGCAATTTTTTTTTTTCAACTCTTCCATTTCCAGATGCTGTCCAGAGCCTTTTTTCATCATGACAAATGCATGCAAAGCATTTTCCCGGTACTCAAATGGACCCGGTACACCACTTTGAGGTTTCGCATGAAAGAAAATATGTTAGACACTGCTACAATAATTTCTGCACAGAAATGAGCTGGAACACATCCAAACACCACAAAAAAAAAAAGACAGCTAATCTCAACAAATACTGCTCTCTCTGCTTCTGCTCTCTCTATTTCTCTCAAAATGTCTGAAATAGTTCATTTTTACTGTTTTTCAGTGCATTCTGGGCATTTTGGAAGGTCTCCTGAGGTTAAAAAATGCTTCTAAATGCGACTCCTAGATTGTAAGCTCCAAGGAGCAGGACCCTCCTCTTGTATTGAACTGTATTGTTGCTGTATTGTCTCTCGTTATATTGTAAAGCGCTGAGCAAACTGTTGGCACTATATAAATCCTGTATAATAATAATAAACGCAAATGCTCATAAACGCGGTATGCAAACGCGGCTAAACAGACGTTTTTTTTTTAACGTACGTTTTCCAGCAGTCAGTTTCCACCGTTCAGAAGTGTCCCGTGTACATGGAGCCTTAGACAGTTGTCACCAGAACATTTGACTCCATAGGACAATTTCTGCTTTCTTATTGTTCCAGGGACAACAGGACAACTTTCTGTCTTGGTGGCAGTGGTCAGCAGGACAAACAGAGAAGTGAATCGCTCTACTAGCCACTTCAATACTGGACACTTTCACTCCTTTCCTGCCCAGGCCAACACTTGACACTTTGAATGACAATTACTAGTCATGCAACACTGTATCTAAATTGTTATTTTCTTTTTCATTTTTTTGACAGATAGAGCTTCTTTTGATGGTATTTATTCACTGGGTTTATATAAGCAAAAAAATTCAGAAAATTCAAAAACAAAACAAAACGTGTTTTTCTTAGTTTTTATTATAAAATTTGTAAATAAATAAGCCTCCTTCATAAATTTAGGCCAAAATGTGTTCTGCTGCATTTCCCTGGTAACAGTAACCCAAACCAATGTATATTAGCCTGTGTGAAAGTTATAGAGTCTACAAACTATGATACATATATATATATATATATATATATATATATATATATATATATATGAAAATTTATCAATCCTGATATACTGTCATCCTATCTCATTTCTTAAGGCCCTAAAATGCCTGGACAGTACAAATACCCCCAAAAGACCCCCCTTTTGGAAAGAGTAGACAGTCAGAGGTGTTTAGTATTAGACATGGCAAATTTTTTGAAGTTGTAATTTTTAGTCACAATTTTTTTGAAAATTAGGAAATTATTTTTTCCACAATTTTGTTTTTTTACATACTGTCATCAGAGTATTACAGCGTCATCATATGCCTGGTTGGACAGGATCAGAGATACTGACTGGTGACAGTATGTAAATAATAAAACAAAAACAATTAACTAATGTTAAAATTAACAATGTTTTTCCAATTATTTTAACCTTTTAACGCTTGGCAACTCAAAGTTTCAGCTCCCTCCATAAATTTTCTATGGGATTAAGGTCTGGATACTGGCTAGGCCACTCCATGACCTTAATGTGCTTCTTCTTGAGCCACTTTTTTGTTGCCTTGGTGGTATGTTTTGGGTCACTGTCATGCTGAAAGACCCATCCATGACCCATCTTCAATTGTGGAAGTGAGTTCCACATCCTTACTGCCCTGACAGTGAAAATTCCCTACGCATTTTAAGATTAACCCACTTCTACTCAAACTTCATTGAGTGGCTGCATGTCTTCTTACACTTCCTGAGGCTGAATAGTTTATTCCTTATGGCAGAATCGTCATTGAGGTATTTGCATATCGCTATCATATCTCCTCTCAAGAGTCTCTTTTCCAGGGAGAATGGGTTTAATGTTTGTAGTCGTTCCCTGTAACTGAGGTCCTCCAGTCCCCTTACTAACTTTGTGGCCTTGTTGCCCTTCTGTGGACTCCAGTTCCAGCATATCCTTCCTAAGGACTGGTGACCAGAACTAGATGACATACTCAAGATGTGGTCGCTTTTATAAAGTGGCAGGATTATAGTTTTATCTCTTGAGTAAATACCCTTTTTATTCATGCTAATATTCTGCTGGACTTGCTTGCTGTAGCTTGGCATTGCATGCCATTGCCGAGTTTGTCATTTACTATGACCCCCAGATCCTTTTCCATCCTGGATTCCCACAGAGGTTCTTCCCCCAGCGAGTACCTTGCGTTTATATTTTTAGCCCCCAAGTGCATTAATTTAAATTTTTCAATAATGAACCTCATTAGCCATGCATTTGCCCGCCCCTTTATATTATTGAGGTATTGAGTTTCTATATTCTGCTGTGAAATTTTGCCATACTTAGCTTTGTATCCTCAGCAAACACTGAGATTGAGCTATTTATAACAGGGCTTGACAAATTTGCTTCGAATCTAGGAACCAGCTAAAAAAGTTAGGAGCCAGTTTTTTTTCTTAGCATAAAAGGGGTTGTCAGCCCCCAGGAATTCACGCGATGCGTTTTGCCATGTGACAATCCTAGCAAAACTGCACCACATTTTAGGCACCATTGAAAATAATGGCACCTGAACTTGTGTTTTGCAATCACAACGATTCTGCTGCGATCCCAAAATGTCCAAGTGTGAATGGAGCCGCCCAGGCACACACATATGCAATTCTGGATTTGTTTTGGAACTCACAAATTTGAATGAAATGTTAGATATTTTGTGTTCCTATTGAGGTGGTTCACGCATATATGATCCATACATGTTTTGAGTGCCATTATGAAAAGGGTCTTGTATGAGTTTGTAACGGTGCATTCCAGACTTGCAAGTGATAGAGTAGAGCGGCACATAGGATTGCTGTTGACAGGAGTTTTCGCACTGAAGTCTATGGGAGGCATTTTCGCATTGAAGTCTATGGGAGGCGTTTTTGTATTGAAGTGTTTGGGAGGCGTTTTCACAACAAAGTCTATGGGAGGTGTTTTCCCATTTAAGTCTATGGGAGGCGTTTTCACATTGAAGTTTATGCAAGGCTTTTTCAC